TATAATTATATATATATATATATATATATTGTTTTATTAAATAAATTCTTAGAACATCTTACCAAAATCGCGTTTGGAATAAGTTGATTCATTATACAATTTATACTAGTGTATTAAGCACTATGTATGCATAGCTAACAGTATTTAAAATTCATGTTGAAAGTCAAACCAAGCTTTTCCACAAGTAACTCCAAAACATACACCATAATAGACCATAATTAGTTCACATGTACAATGAGTGCCACATGATCAATATATCATTATTTTAAATAATAACATTTATATATGGTGGGTCTATTATATATTTAGTAGTATACATAACATTTATTACCTGCTACCAAAAACAAATAGCCAAATGTGAAAGACTTTTCAGGGAGAATTAATTTTCTATTCCAAAATTATATTTCAATTCATATTTTTTCCAATTAGATAATGATACTAGTTCATGAAGATATCATTATTATACACGTGTCAGATCATTCAACAAATTAAAACAGAAACTCCAACATAATTTTGATACATAAAATCATTTCTCTATTAACGGGCAATTAATTAAAAACACAACAAACACATAGACAATTTTTTGCTTGTGTCATGCATGTGTCCAAGTAGACAAGATCATTACAAAAAAACACAAATTTAAAAAAAAAATAGAAATGATATTTCTATACTTAGAAGAAAACAAAAAAAAAAATTCTAACGTAGCCACCAATTATATGCCTCATTCTCTTCATCACTCATCCTACTATCAACAAAACCCAAAACCACAATTTCCTCATAAACCCCACAAAACCCCGAAAATTTGATGTGACTTCTACAAATCGGGCATGTCCAGTGCCCGCACGTGACCCACCTCTCGATGCACGCGCCGTGAAAAACGTGTCGGCACTTGTTAAGCTCCCGTGCCTTGTCATCCTCTTGCTCGATCGAGCAAAGACAGATGGCGCAATCGTGTGGGCCCACGTGGTCGGGCCTCGTGCTATACTTGTCAAGTTCATGTGACATGTGAACCGGGGCTCGGAGGATGAAGGAGCTTAGGAGAAGCAAGTCTATGGTGGATTTTATGTGGGAAATTAGGAGGATTATGTGTTTGAGTGTGATTATGAGGTGGGTTTTCAGGGACATT